CTACTCCCATGTCACTATGAGGTACGCAAACATGAACGCACACATTCAGCCAAACATACACGCACATACCCATCCACACACACACGCTATGCTTAATGGCCGATACTGGTACTAGTTACTTCTCAGAAACCTAAAGTTTGTACTCAGTAGTTAAAAGTAGCTACACCTGGGATAACCACTACAGTAAAATTGATATATTAGTACTATCAATCTTATTATGAATATATAATAATACATCACAGGGCCGATAATTATTTTCCTACAGAATGAATACTTTTACTTTTGAGTAACTATTTACTCATAAAACGTGTGCACTTTTACTCAAGCTGTATTGCTTGTCGCAGAGTATTTTGTGTTGTGTTGATACTTTTACTTCAGAATACTCTCTCCTCCCCAGTTTGTACTTAACTTTCAATTCAAATGAAAAAACAAATGAATCTGAATGTGCACAGACTGAACTTTGATAACTCAGCCTACCGCTACATCATGAAGGAGGATGAGGAAGAGCAGGATATTTTGCCCATAGCCTCAGACTTCTTCTTTGAGGTTTTCCCCTTCAACATCGTCTTCAGACAGGTAAACCTTTTAAATCACATGCCTAAACTCATAATGCAATGACGCAATAAAGGAAAAATATCTGCATCTCCTGGTTTCTTCAGGACATGGTGGTGCATAATGTTGGCTCAGGCCTGTCCACAGTCTTCCCTGATCTGGATGGGAAGAAGATCACTGATGCCTTCTTGCTGGCTCGCCCCCTGGTGGAGTTTACCTGGAACATGGTGAAGCATCACTTTACATTGTTTAACTGCAGCCTTCGGCAAATAAACAACACACATCAGCTTTATACAGGAAGTTGATGAGTGCTGATAATATTGACTTCATAATATTGTACACAGATCATCTCCCACCCCAACAACCTCTTTGAGATCATGTCCAAGGAGCCTGTGAAGAGAGAGAGGAACCTTCATAACCGAATCCAGAGTAAGAGTTAGATCCATGAAACACTCGCAGGGTTAGTGGATGAGGACTCGCTGGCTTGTAGACAGATTAATTTCAAAGCAGTCAGTTGCAAAAGACATGCTCAATTTCAGTTTCATTAAAAGAAGAGCAGGTATGGGGTAAAGTGGATGTCTGTTCTCGTATGAGAGCTTGAACACCAACATTTACGTTGAAGTCTACTGAATCGAAGTTCAGAGTTAAGTAGGTCATGTAGTTAGAGAAATGGAAATGTTGTATGTGTTAATTCAAATTCAAATTGATTTAGTGGAACTGATCCCATCCCTAGTTGTCAGGGGTAGAGGGTGTGCATATTAATGTTTCTGCATCTGACAATTTCCCCTGTTTTTCCAAAGATTCTGACTATGAAAATGCCAATCGCTCTGCTGACGTAGATGTGGAGCTCATGGCTTTCCATTCCATCATTGGAGAGGATTACAAAGGTCATGACAATTTTTGTAATCTAACAAAACACTGTGAGACCACCTGGACCTACAGACGCTTACTAGACAAAATAAAACCAATTAAAGACACATTAAGCATACAAAAGAACATCACTTTTATAAGATAATTTGATGTTTTGGAAAATAAACATTCTTGTGTCCTTGGTGAACTTCCTTCTTAGTTGACAGGAAGGTCAATACTTCTCTCATGTACCTTGAATATGGAGCTGGATCAAGCAGCAGGTTAGCTTAGCTTAGCATTAGCTTGGGAATGAGTCCAAAGGTAATACAACCCTGCTTACCAGCCCCTCCAAAGCTTTATAATAAACATATTAAATCATTGTTCTTTGCAAAAACCATAGTGAAAGTGAGAACAATGTATGAGGTCA